ATTACAAGCTACACAGTTTAAAGGATACTCACTAAATAAGACCTCAGACCTCATCACTGAATGTAATAGTGTAATTGAATTAAGTGAATATAACAGAATTAATAGTATTAACTGAAAGTATTATAGTAATTAGCATGAAGGAAACATCCACCTATTTTAAAGACACGTATTTTAAGGAAACATCCACCTCTTCGAGTGACAGGGCAGAGGATATATGCAGTTGTTGTCTTGTTCAATATGTGGGAAGTGTTGAACATGTAGGGGAGTACAGGCTGTCACTCGTGCCTCTGCTTCTTTCAGAAACATAAGCTATGTATGCATAAGGAGCAGTTTTCCTTTCAGCTGTGAGGCCAGGAGGGAGACAGAAAACCCAATTTTTTCCTTTGCAGTAAGGATAGAACTGTTATGCCTGTGAATGACATCAGAAAAAAATGTAGCTAATGAACAATTAAACATTCACGGCAGTTAGTGTGTTAGTGGTGAATACTTTCTGTCCACTTAAAAAGTATACAAATATCTGTATGTGTAAATTTAGTATGATGGAAGGTGGACCTTGGTATAAATTGAGTAGCCATACTTTAAAATATCGTCCAGCAACTTTAAGAGAGTTTGAGCAAAGTGTTAGGGCTTTTTTGTCATAATTTCATTTTCTGCTGTGTGCACACAATGTTGTAAGCCTTTTGATTCTAAAACTGAAGAAAAAAAGAGAAGAAGATTTTTCCCCCCTCCTGACTTCAGGAACTTAATGAAGGACTCGCTTAAAAATATAAATTGCAAGCCCAGGCTGCACTATTTGTTACCTATCGTAAATATTTTTCCTGTGGAAATTTCTTTTGTTTTGACTTATATGGAAAAACAGAGGTCATTGTCACCTTCATAGGACTTTCAGTAATCACTTTTTAGAGCATATAGTTTTTTACAACATTTTTATGGCATAGTTTAGTGGTCAGAAGTAATAAAATGCATATGAAAAGGAAGAAGATGAAAATTCTCTTCACAGTAGAGTGATAATCAACTAGGTAAATGTAGTAGTGTTAATTCAGCTGAGATTTATGCAAGTAAAGGTACCACTACTACTAGTACTTAATACTTTAGTAAGCTTAGGTGCCCTTCTGACCTCTAAAGCTGCAGCTCCTGAACAAAACAGGTAGGAACTGAAAGTGGGCCCGTTCAGGAGAAGAATGGTCTTTTATTTAAGATTTTCAAGATGGGAACACTTTTTTGCTTAAACAGAAGAGGTGCCTATAAAGCATAGGTACATAGTTTCGATGCTTTTACAGGTGTCAAAGTATAATGTTATTTTTCCACATTATTTATGCCAATATCTTTGCTTGAAAGAGGGACCTTTAAAAAAATGGACTGAGTGCAGAATAATGACTAAGAGTGATATGTAGAATTTAAAATGTAAACGATAACTGGGCTTAGTACCAGGACAGAGAAGGGACAGCAGGCAAAGAAAAGTTCTTCTGAGGCAGCTCTGGTAGAAGATTGTGGTTTGCTGTAGTTAGCACTGATTTCAAGTGAAGTCAAAGTGCACCAAAAATGAGTTTAAGGCAAACATTGATTTCTGTCAAAGTTTAACTTACTGTGCCCTACTGAACCCAAATCTGTATGAAATATGTAAAGTTCTTTATTTGATGTTCCCTGAAAGATGGATATTTTTTGGAAGTATGGTATGGTTCTCCCTTCCTTTTGTTTCACTTACCTCGTTTCTGTGCCTATATATATATGTTTACATAATTATCCTGGCGTACTTAAGCCTATAAGGTCTATGTGGTTACTGAAAGATCCAGTCCGTGCCGGCTCCCTCATGCTGGCACTGATATTTGCAGTGTCAATCGGAGTGGAGAGTTAATCACATTGAAAATTAACATCACCAAAGAAAACCCTTAGGATGGTTTTTCAGCTAGATCGCCTTTTTAACAGACGGGAGGAAATAGCAGAAATGTACCTGTCAGATGTAGGTGAATCTAGATGACTTAAACTGATTGTAAAACTGTGTTTTATATGAGCTAATTTTCCTGTGGCATCTTAAAACAGATAAAGGTAGAAGCTGTACCATGTATGTATGATGAAGAGCCTTTCCTTGTTTCTTACAACTGTTAATGCTGACGAGCAGCCCAGAGTTCACCTTAGCCGTTTCAGCAAAAGAAGGAAAGAGGGGGAGACCACTTGCAGGCAATCTGTTCTGGCAAAAATTTGTCACTGCTGCAGAAACTGCTCACAAAACTCACCCATTTCCCAAGAAGACTATTTCACCTTTCTTTCCAAGGTTAGAATTAAGTTGAGATGTTGTTACTGGCTCAGCAAAGTCTTAAGAAGAGGCCAGCATTGCCAGTGGTGCAGAACATATTAATTATATAGTACTTTGTGGCGTGGACCACTGCCTGTCAGAGATCGGTAACAAATTCACTATGCGCACTTCAATTAGGAGACCATGCTCTCTGGAGTGGAGTTTTGTTCTTCTGTTATGTTATTTTTCACCATAGCAGTCCAGAGATGGTGCTTCATTGTATATGTTTTTTTCCATCTCTGAAAAAAGTAAAAGAGTTAAGCAAATAAAACACTTAGGATCTAAAATGATATTCGTATAGGTAAAGGTAACAGTTGTTTGTTTTTTGTCTGTACAGACACTGAAAACAAGTGAATCCAATTTGAAGGTTCGCTTGTCAATTAAAGATCAGATAACTTACAGTTTTATAATGTTGGCACAAAAAATGGAAATCACAGAATCACGAAATGGTTGAGGTTGGAAGGGACCTCTGGAGATCATCTAGTCCAACTCCCCTGCTCAAGCAGGGTCACCTAGAGCATGCTGCCTAGGATTGTGCCCAGACGTCTTTTGAATATCTCCAGGGAAGGAGACTCCACCAGCTCTCGGGGCAACCTGTTCCAGCGATCAGTCGCCCTCACAGGAAAGAAGTTTTTCCTCATGTTCAGATGGAACTGCCTGTGGTTCAGTTTCTGCCTGTTGTCTTATAGTATTAATTTTTTGCGTATGTCCTGTGTAAAGTAGTTTAAGTTCAGATGAGCATAGCTGCATAAGACTATTTAATAGTACAGTTAGAAATGGATGGAGAGAGAACAAAATCTGCAGTATCAGAGGTTAATAGTTCTTCTTTCTGTTTGTGACTTGAAAATCATCACTGACTGTTCAACCTTCGTTTCTATTGATGAAGGGCTTTGAAAAGTAAGTGACGTGCCCTCAGTATCAGTGAGTGACAGTTTGCATTAAAGTAGTAGTTTTAATGTATCATTCATTGATTTCTCTGAGACTGAACGTTGACTATGGCAAACAGAAATATGTTTTAAAATGCCACAGATATAAATGTGCTTGTTTTTCTCATGCCTCTTGCACCTTCTCAAACGTCAAGATCTTATGCCATTATCTTTTGTAGGGAGAGTCTTGCAGTTCTGCCATTTGGATGCCATGGTAACTACATGCTTCTCAGTTTTAGCTCTTCTGTTCAGGAGTTGGATCTCTGCTGTATGCAGTGCCATCTTGGATTAGCAAATGGGAATAAAAGAAATTGAGATAATATGCACATAGTTATGACAGACTAAAAATTGTTTTAAATATAATGCTTGATTAGTACTTCTGAGTTAATGCATGTGAGCTGTCCTACATCTGTCTTGCATGTTTCTCAGGAGACTTTGGAATTGTGGTCTGTTTTTAGAAATTGTGGAATTCCAGAAGTGTGTCCACCAAAGTCTGTGCTCAGGGATATTTCCCATTCTCAGAATGGAATGTTCCCATATAATGTAAGCCTGAGTGTTATATTGCTTAAGGCCATTTGTACAGGTCTGGAGTGTATAGGCTTCCTTTTTTTTCTGGACTTCTTTCCCAGCTGACCCAGCTGGGCAATTTAGGAAGATGACTGTGTTGTCCACATGCAAATCCGGGAGACTGGCTTTCAGAATATTAAGGCATGTTGCTTCTTTTTAGCTCTGTTCCAGTTATTTTGGTTGTGTTACTGATCTGAATTATCCTTTTAATGTGTTGCTATTTGCATAGTGCAAAGAACAACGTTATAGCTACCTGAGACATTTGTAATAGTTTACCCTTTTTTGATGGTAATAAGTCTTCCCTGGGCTTTTGCTTTAGTTGAAACTCCAGATTACCCTAATGAATAAGTAATTTGATCTCTAAGGTAAGAAGGCTGTTACCTTCCGAAATCTGAATGAAACGAAGGACATAGGTTTGTTGCTAACAATGTGCAGTAATTTAGTTCTTGAGGGCTTTGATTTGAGCGTAAAAATGAATACATCAGACCACAAGTACATGTATTATTGTGAAATGTGAGAGACTGGGGAGATTGTGCAGTGGCTTAATGCACTGATCTTTCATCTGTAGAGACATGATTTTCCGTAGGGACCCAAACAGAAGCAAGTTTGCTGCTCTTCTGTTCCTTCAGGTACTTCTGCAGTTCACAAAAGCAAATATGCAATTTTACAGAATTTCGCATGCTGAGGAACATCTGTTTCAAGGCAGAGTTTCAGTAGCACATCGAGGTTGACCCACATAGGCAGAAGAGTTGGAAAAGCTTGACTGACTCTATCTGTGCATCAGGCTTTCTTCAGACTTCTGCTGTTAATCCATCGTATTTCTGAGCATCCAATTCATGCAACATAAAAATTACATAAATCTACCAGTTTCTTGAGCTCTTTTAGTGTGAATTATCAATCCCTTCTTCCCACAAAAATGTGGTGTCTTTGCTAAGCGCTGGAGGGATGAGCCTTCAGTTTTTGAAGAAATCAAGCGTTTTTATCAAAAGACTGCTGTGAAAAGAACAGCATTCCCCTTCTAACGGTGGTCCTTAACTCTTGAGTCTTTCTTGTATTTTAAGAATATGTTTAAAAGTGAATATATTATCCCATTGATGTTGCTCACAGCTGAGAGAAAGATCCATGTACCATTTCATAACACTGACTTTTATTGAATTTCTGATTACATTATCTAAATTGATCCCCAAAAAACTTCTAATGCACTCTTCCCACAGAAATTGAAACAGAAGAATCAACAGCTGAAGCAGATCATGGATCAGTTACGGAATCTCATTTGGGATATAAATGCCATGTTGGCAATGCGGAACTGAGCAAGGAAACAACTTAAAATCAAACTTCATAATTAGAAGAGCTGCTGATTTTTTTTTTTTTTTCAGATATACTTAATTTCCTTCTAAGAAGTACCGTGTTTTCCCACAACCATGTCACAGCAATATTTGAAAAGTTTTTGATATTAAAGTGTTTTTTCTCTGATAATTTAAATAGTATTGACTTTCTTTTTATAAAAGATTCATCCTACAGTTTGTGTCTGAGTGATTCAATTAGGCTGAATATAGCAAGTTTTGTAACTTACAGTAATAATTTGAATTGCTATATAAATTGAGTTTTTTATAAATGTAGTCTTTCTAGATTTTGTATAATACACTTAACACTTCAAAGAAAAAAAAAGTTTGCATGCTGTTCTGCAGTGTGGACTGCTTCTATATGTGGGAGAAGTCAATACAGAAAAGTTGCTCCAGGAAGCTGCAGGACAGAAATAAGTGATCAGAGATTACGATTCAATACAGGCCCGTTGTGGGAACCTATGGACTCCTATGCCATATTAGGTCATCTTATCCCATATCCTGTCACTATATACGTGTGGTATTAGATAGATTGGGGCAAAATACAAGAAGCCACGTAGATATGCCCCTATCCTCATTGATACAATTAAGTCCTTTTAAGTGAAGGCTTTAGAACTCATCAACCTTAACTTCTTCCACAACTGAGTTATCATTTTCTTGAGTATTACTTCAAGTTGGGCCTCATACTTCTGTACTATTATATAGGATTGGAATGCTTTATTCTCTTTTACCAGAGTGTACTGAGTAGTGCTTTTCATTGATCATTTTACTATGACTGCCAGTGCCAGAAAACTTCAGTGTATTTGAATAGTTTGTTATCTTGTGTTAGTCATGAAACTTACCTTTCTTTATTTTGTTTCTCTGGCTAATTTTTAACTTCCTTAGGTATTCCTCACAATTTTCGTTAGCCCTGAAAATATTCTAATAATGTTTATTATCCACAAATGCTGCTGTTAGACTGTGTGTCTCTCTATTCCAGATCAATTAATATTTAAAATAATGTCATTTCAGTACAAATCCTTAGGGCACTTGGCTGGTAATATTTGTAAAGTTGAAAACTGACCATCCTTATGTCTTGTTTCTTATGTATTACCTTTAATGCCCATCCTGTGCCCAATTAGATTCCTTAATAGTTTTGCATGAAAGGCTTGCTCAAACCTTTTGAAGAATCCAACTAAATGATATCTATAAGATATCTTTTATACACTGCAGTATTTTGATACTCACTGAATTCTGATGGATTCAAGTTGCATGTTTTTTACAGATGTCATACTGGTTTATTGTTCTTAAAGTTGTGTGGGTTTTTTTTTTTTTTTAATGATTTCAACACATTTGCCCACTCCTTGAGGTAAAAATCACTGGCACGTAATAGTAACACCTGCTTAACAGTATATGATTTCAGTTGGGGAAGATCAGGTCCAATTTTTCTCTTTTTTCTCTTTTTGAAGAGTTTAACAGATTAATGGATGCCCAACAGTCTTTACTCCCATTTTACAAATGGAAGAGTTGATAGCTCACTCAGCATTCAGTGGCAAAGCTAGCAGTAGAACTGCTGAGTTTCCGTTTAGGTTGACCGTTGCAGCAGATAACATTGGTCAAGGAGTAATGGTTCTTCAGCAGTGACAGGTGTTTCTATTATATAACCTATGTAAAGACAAAACAGATTAAAAGTTTGAATGAAGCTTTTGCAAAGGAGGTGATGGGTGCCCATAGAGATTTTTATTTAAGATGTAGGCACATCTTTATATTTGCAACATGTAGTGCAGCTTTCTACTCAGTGTATATATAAGCACACATCCCTCTTGGAATAAATATTTGAAGTGGATTTTGAAGTGACGCCAATGTTTTGAGTGTGAGTATAAAATTCTCAATACTTAGCGTTTGGTTGTAGTTTGGAACAATGGAAAGGACTACAGAAAATGGAGATTATACTAGACTTTGCTCCACTGTCTATATAATAGATCTGTGTGAGCACTAAATATCTTTAAAGTTTGTTGGCTTATTATTTTTGTTATTTATAAACAGAGTAAAAGTAACGTAAAATGTGAATAAGAGTGCAAGTATTGCAAGTAGATGTCAAGCTGATACAATATTCAGCTTACTCTGCATCTGCTGGCAGTGGCCAAGGTTTATACTATAATTTTTCATCTGGGAGAGAGGGAAAAAAAACCACTTTAAACCACTACGAGAACAGATAGCATGCTAGCTAAATTGCAAAGTGTGGAAATTGACAGAACTGTAAATTATCACAGTAAATACTGTCAAAACAGGAACTTTGCAAAGTGTTGGACCAAAACCATACACTTTGACTTACACAGATGAAAGTAAGAGTAGTGGACATAATTTACCTCCTGCCACGTCCATGAGTAAATACAGGTTTCAGTCAAGAAGATAGGAGTTTTAAAATGAGTAGCTGTTCCTTAACTGGAAGACGTTGCTGGGCATCAGCGTGTGTTGAAAATTAATATTTTACTGCTAGTTAATGAAATGGCAACAAATACACCAGCAAAGCAATACCAGCACAGTTGCTTCAGTGTTTTGTTTCTGTATCATTGACTGTTTCAGTATTTCAGATTAGGCAAACGCTGGATAAACACACAAACAGTACTGGGAGCAGATACCAAACCTGGGATGGTTCCATTGCTGGAATATAAGAATATTTGATGGGTTTGGTGGAATTGTTAGGACTCTGATTTTACTGAGAGAGGAATTGATAGTGGAGCTGTGATGTTGAATATCTTGTGGCATGTTTATGGGAGCACCCCAACTTAATACATACCTCAATATGTAACCGTTAATCTACTACCTTCATAAACAATATTACAGATATTGAATGTTCAGTAAGCTAATTAAACTCATTGTGGCAATATAGAAGATACCTTGTACCTTTGCAAACTGCCTAGTAGGTTTTTTTTTTTTTTAACATAAAAAGACGGCTGAACAGATTTATGACACGTTCAGAAAAGATGTGAAAAACTTCTTCCTTTGTCATCTCCCATAGAGGCAGCAAGGCCACATCCAGAGCGCTCTAATAAACCATGACTGGTTTTGCTGACCTATAGAAAAAACCCTGTCCTGATTGTAGTATTTCTTATGGATAGAGAAATTGGAATCTATACACAAGTGCTCCTTGAATTCATCCCTGTAAATAATGGATATAGGTGGAGCAGGACAAGGATTCTGGTCTCATAGGAAGCAAGACTTCATCGATATGCAAGGTGACTGCACAAGCCAAACCGATTCTACAGCTGAAGGACGATTGACAACTGCTGTGGAAAACGGTAAGCTCCAAATGTAGATCTAAAGTTAAGAAAAACTGTTTTGGCCAAGGGGAAAAAAAGAAGTGACAACCAAGGACATTGCGAGTCAACTGAGGTTTACAGAGGATAATTAGTTTAATTACTTCATGCTAACAAAGGAAATGGGGAATAATAAAGGAATTTATAAATAAACCAGTGCACAAAGAAGCATTTGAGGAAGAAACTGAGAAGTGTGTTCACTCGCCTTATTTAATAGTAATGAAGCCTGGTATGGTAGAGCATCTGCGTCTTTAAAAGCAAAGGGGTTTTTGCTGTTGGAAGGTTATTCTATTTTTATATATAAAAATAGCAAACTGATACCATTGAATGATGTGTATTGCAGGTTATTAATGAAAGTGGCACAAAATTGTGTACCAATGACAATTTTTATTGAAACAGATGTAATAGGTAACTGGAATGTAAGAGATAAATAAATGTAGCGTGTTGAAACTTTCATCTTGTGAAGTCTAACTTCTGTGTAAGGATTTTTCTTACATTGCATAAGGGACACGTTCTGGCATCTGTTACAACACTGAAAAGCAATAGCAGTACTAAACAACAATAACAATGCTAAAAGCATTAAGAGTATGGATGTGAATGTAGTCAGAAGCAGAATACGTGTTTGATTGCGTTTGTCACTGGACGAGGTAGGTCCAGTAAAGGACAATGTTCATCTACTTCAAATATGTCTGAGACGCATTTTCTTTTGTACACTTACCTCTAGGATCATCTCAACTCATTGTATGCCTTTGAGTTCAACTTAGAAGTCCCCCCTAATTGATTGAAGTTCTGTTTCTACACATACCCCCAGCAGCTGATAATATCTGATCATCGCTGCTCAGGCCATATAAATTCTGCTTTTTGCCCAAATCCTGTGTGGGGCCTCATGCGCTCTCTTTGGAGACACTTTGGAGTCTGCCCATCGTGCTCTTACGTTCCCCTTCTCGGATGACTGCTGCTAACTACAAGCCTGTAGAGTCATGGTCTGAAATGGGATTCAAAATGCGTGGCTGGAGGGAATGTATTACATACAGATTTATGATAAAATGCTTCCCTGGATCTGCATATGCTTTCTTGTGAAATCTTACTTGAAAAATAAATTCAGATTCACCTAAAGAGGAAGAAAGTTGTGTGAGTTGAAAGTTGTCTGAGTAGCAGTGACTAGCGATGCAGTTGTTTTTATAATCATAGGGAGGTCTTAGCTGGTATTTACGGTCATGGAGAACGGGGAAGCTCATGAAAACAGCCTGTTACAAGAATACACTGTTGAAGTGGGAAGACTTTCAAACAGTGAGGGGAAAACAGAGAAACAGAACAGCAGCAATCAGAACTTAATATGAACAGAAATCAGCCCTACAATATAGTCACGGAAAGAGGATTTGGGAAAAAACATTTAAAATCTTTTTTAGAGAGAGAGTTGGGATGCAGTGTGGGGAAAAAAGCTATTACGGTTTGCAAAGCAGGCAGTATACCTGAGAGAGAGTTCCTGCTGTGAAACCTTGCAGTAATTCTCCATGAAATATTGCATTAGTTTGGGAATCTTCATGTTACTAATGCAATAAAAGAGAAGATACCAATGTACTGCTGTATGATTAAGCATTAGAATAACTCAGGAAAGCAAAGATGCAGCTCAGATCTAGAAATAGTTGGGTAAACGCAAAAGGGAGATAATTAATTAGAATGATTTGGGGTGGCTAGAGCACAAAATAATGAAAAAAGGTAAGTGAGCTTCATTTATTTGACTGAACACCAACGGAGAGGGCGAAACCTTGTAATGCCAAGGTATGAAATATTAATTTCTCTAGGAGTTTAGAAGATGTGTCGTGGTTTACTTAGAAATTTTAGAACTAAACAGCATAAAAATGCATTGGGAAAAGGCAAAAAAGTCCATCTTGCATTGGTAGAGCAAAAGATGGACTAAACTGACCTTACTGGTTTTTCCACTTTTAGATTTTACAGTCATAAAGCATCTTTTTATCAGAAGACTATTTGTCAGATGATGGGCTCCTAAGAGCACCTGGGCTAGACACTACCTGCCAGCATTAAACAGGCTTTCACAGCTTCTTTATGATGATTTGTTGCTGAAATGCCTCTTCAGATAAGGTGCTCTCCTGGAATTTCCATTAAATAGGAGGGTGAGCAGAAAAGGAAATGAAACAATACTTTGTTTCTCCCCTGCTCCTCACCCCACAGCCCCAGCCCCCCACCC